ATTAAAATAAATAATAATAATAATTTTATCAGTAACTCGGTAATCATAACTCCACCGAAAACATGGTTTGGTGAAAGTCCGTCTACAGTTAATAAATTTCCCCTCTGGTTGGTGATGATTTGACTATAGACTTTTGCCATTGGGCTGTACGCTGTAAGGAAGCCTCCGCGAGACTTCCTGATATTTTGGCTTTGTTCCACAATGGTTTTTCAGATTTTTTTTTTTTTTTTACAATTTATAATTATTTACATGTTAATTGGAAGAAAAGAAAAAAGATTTCGTGTGGTTTGAACATATAATCTATTGGAGGTGAACAACCTTAACTTAAAGTTCAATACCACTGAATCGGAGCGGACCATTTGATTTTTCAGGCTCTTTTACAACAACTTATTTCTTAAAAATTTAGTGCCAGTTTGTTTTGAAGGGTTTGAAGGAGCTAACAGTTTTTGGGTTATAATTAGTTAAATATGAATATTTAGATAAGGATTTTTTTGTTAATCGTTAGAAATTAACTAATAATTGTTAAATTTTTTAACAAATATGTCTTTTTAACAGCCCTAATAGGTAATTATTAGACTTAACAGTATTTGTGGATTTTTTTCTTTATTTATTGTAACAAAATTTTAGGTAGAGTGTTTGTTTTGACATTTTACATGTAAGACTTAATTTTAATAAAATAAATTAATTATTTTGAATTATAAATATTAATAATTAATAATTAATAATTATTAACTATTAATTATATCTAATCAATCAATCTAAATATCTTTTTTCTAGTTCTAATTATGTTATGATCATTATTAATTTTGTTAAAGTTATTAAAATTATTAAATATTTATCTTAATTTAATTATTAAATATAATTAATAATTATAAAATAATTAATATTTATTTTTAATAAATTAAAATTAATTTATAGATAAATATTTTTAAATAATAATTTTTTAAAAATTATAAAATTATAATTAAAATAAATAATTTAAATAAAATTAACAGTAATAATAACAGCTTGTCTGCTTGTGTAATAATTGTTCAAAAAGGAAGAACAAGACGAGAATTGTGTCAGTGGACCAGGGGTATTCTAGGCAGAAACTATCAAAAGTAGAGGATAGAACTGTCACAAGAGCCATAATAAATACAAGGTGTTAGGGAATCCAAGGCGGTGATCTAAACAGGTTAGAGGAAGGCGCCACCAGAAAGAAGACGACGAGCAAGAGAAGAGACGAATATATTAAGAAGAATTTAGCTCCGGCGATCGGCCGTCGAGGTCCGCCAAATCGGACCGTTATTACTCTATTGATAAATTGTCCTCTGATCTGCGATAACTTATATTTGGAAGAACAAGAAGAGGGAGAATCAGAATCTCAACGAGGATTTGAGGAAATTTTTGCTACAAATTTGTGTTAAATCTTTCCAAGTTTCGACAATCTTCAAATTCGGAGGCGATGATTCTTTTGAGTTGAACAACAGGTATTGAAAAACCCTAGATTTTGATTTCTACGCTTTTTTGTGGTTATTTTTCCTTGGAAAGCAGGGAGGACATTTGATTCGCGTTATGGGAAGCTCAGATCTTAGAGAATCTTAATCGGAAGCTAATAAGTTTTAGGGTTTTTGGAGATTTACCGAAGAAATGGGCTCAACGAGAAGCGATCTCGTTCCTTGGATGTTCTTCTAGACTAGATCGCCCAATTTATTTCTGCATGGCTTCTGGAGATCTTTCATATACTTGAAAATCTGTTCTGAAAAGCTGCAGGAGCTTTTGATTATGATTTTTTATCCATAAAATAGGACTTCACCGTTGGTCGAGAAATTTTCATGCTGCAATTGTTAGGCTATTTTCTGATTTTAGTGTGAATTGTTGAAATCTACTAAGCTGCTCGGCAACCCAAGACTCCTGTGGCTGTGTCTTTCTACTTCTTCTACGGTGGACAAACTAGCTAGATAGAAACTTTTAGGATATTATACTTTAAATTGATTGCAGGAGCTATGATGATTGCTTGCACTTCTGGCGATTTATCTTGCAAATTTGGTATTTCATGTTTATATCACTGGATCTATAAGCTAGGGGTCATTTTCCGTAATTTAAGGTGCAGTATATGCTTGCTTGTTGTGCTCATATATGCTGAAAAGAGGCAGGGAAAAATGAAGTGGCTAAATTTCACATGTCATTATTTGCCCTGTAATACTATTGAAACGAAGGTTACTGATGTTCCATTTAAAGAGAATAGGAGATTTGAGTTACAGATATTTTTTGAAGCTCTTTGGTCAGCGGTCAGGAAGTGAGTCAGATGGCATGTCATGAATGGTTTTGCTGCCAAATATTTTTGCATTGACTGAAACAACAATATATACCTTTTATAGCCGAAAGTAATTATGCCAAAAAAGTTCATAGGAATGAAAAGGGTGATAAAATCTGCCTTTTGATGATATCATCTATCGTAGTTTGTCGTGTTAATATTTTATGGCTCTTATATGGTTGCAAAGAAGCCTGATTCCAGTATTAGGAATCCACTTTTACCAATGCTACATTCCCATTTCTGGAAGCTTTCAAGGCCTTCAAAACTGGTTAACACGATCTGCCTCAAGGTAATGGCCCTTGGAGGCATATGCTGGCAGTCTTGTTATCAGCTTTTGGGCTTGATAACAGTGTCTTGTGTTATGTGGACTAGATGTTTTAGCATAGCATTTTTCATTATAATTTTTTTTGTTTTTTTGATCCTATTGTTCCTTTTCTCCTTTTGATAGATATCGTCCTTTGTTTTACAGGTAAACTCCCAAGGCAGTTAGGGCTTGAATTTTCCTGTGATCATCAGAGATATATACAAGGTTGGAGGAAACAAAGCAACCGTAAGTTTGCAGGATCATTTTTGCCCCTCTCCTTGTTATCCTCAGTGCACATATGACATGAAAATTGCTGAAACTTAATGGTCTGCATGTTTAACATATCTTTGTGTTTTGTTTTCTGATAACTTGGTCTAGATGGAAGTCAATGTGAGAACTCGGTTTGAACTGTTCAGCCTTACCTTTGCCTGCCAAATTGGTTCTGATTTCTTGTGCTTGGGTCAGATAGTTCTATGACTGATAGTTTTGTTGCTGTGATTTGTTTTGTTATTATTGTTTTTCAATACATGTGACATTAGTGTTGTATTATTGGATATGTTTGTATTACATTGATTTACCTGATTTAAGGGTTAATGTTTTGCAGAGTGGGCTCTGCGCTTGCACCAGGAGTTTTTCCTCTCCTCTGGTGGCAAGTAAAAAGGAAGAAGCTGTTGTGTCCTGTAAGACCTGCCAGGATAGATCATCGGTTGATGGGATAGGGTCTGTTACTGCAAGCATGACGAGCACGGTAGGCTTGGAACTTGACTTGACTTGGAAGACGGTGTCAAAAGGAAATAGGAGTGGGACGAGACGAACCAGAAAATCAGTTGCCAAAAACTTGACTGGAGCAGGGCAAGTATCTGATGGGAATTCCAGACCAGCAGAGGATGTGACAGTTTCTGAATCTGAAAAGGTTACATTCCATCCTGCAGTTGTATGTTGGTTTTTACATTTAATACTTATTCATCAAACAACTTCTTTTCTCACCTGTGTTTTTCAACTTCTAATGTTTTGTTTTTCAATTCGCAGCATGGAGTTGCTGTCCTAGGGCAGCACTTTAATGAAAAAATAGAGCACGTACCAATAAAGAAACGAAGATTCGTGTTCCATACCCCTTCCCCACCTCCCTCACCACCACAAACCCCTTCGCCACATGTGGAAGTTTCTGACCAGCATAAAGATATTCAATCTGCTTCAGGTCAAAGTTCTTTTTCAAATTCAATACAGAAGCAGGAAACTATGGAACTTGATGTTTTGACCAGGTCATCTATTAGCGTTATTGATGGGAAGTTCACAGAGGTAAGTAATGAGAAGGTTGGTTGTGTGGAGGATTTCTCAGGAATTGAAATGCTTGCTGCTGCTGCTTGCAATGATTGCGTGGATGATTTTGCTGGTAATGAGAAAGATCCTGCAGTAGAAGAATCAAAACAAGAAAGAAATGACTCATCATTGGCCCCCTTGATTCCTTTGGAAGAAACTATTGCATCACAGCAAACAGACTTGTGCCTCCCAAAAGATTCAGGTAATGAAATTAAAATGGACAATTCATCCTTTCTGCCTCCAAAAGATTCAGTACATGAAGTTAAAATAGAGGATTCATCACTTCTGGCCCCTAAAAATTCTGGAAATGAAGTTCAAATGAAGGATCCATCTCATGTGTTCCCAAAATATTCAGGAATTCAAGTTAAAATGGAGGAATCATCTCTTCTGGATAATGCTGGTGGTGTTTTCCTTGAATCTCTAAGTAACAAGAAAACAGGAGAGGTGCCCATATCCTTGCCGGATGATCGATCACTTTGGGATTTAAACCTTTCAATGGATGCCTGGCAAAGACCTTGTGATAATGAGTATAATGATTCTAAAAGTAATTCTGTAGTTAATATCCATGTGGACAAGGATGCTATGTTCCAGAGCACAGGTCTTCAAGATATAAAAAATGATCATGTGGATGCCACTTCTTCATTTGATGTTGGTCGGGATAAATGTTTACCATCAAATTTGGGAGCTTTGCCTGTTCAAACTAATTGTTTGAATGAAAAGGAAAATGAATTGGAAGGATGCTCTAGCCTCGGTGGAAATAATAATGAACATGCATCCTCGACTGTCGGTAATCTTGTAGATTCTGTAAAATGGGTTGCTGATGATGTCAGTGTTTCCACTCAATTAGTTGGTTTGGATCAGTGCTGCACTTCTGGCACAGAGGTAAATAATACAAGTACAGTGAAGTTGAAGGAAATCACAGGAACATCTCCTTCACAGGGTAATTCTGAGCTGGGTACAACAAATCATGCTTCTGGGTCTGAGGTGGACAAAATTGCATGTGTAAAAAGCATCAAAGTTGAGGAGTCTGATGTAGCTTCTCCCTATCTACCTTTTCTAGAAATAGCTTTTAAAGATGTAGAGCCCAGAACTGTCTGTCAGGATAGGAAGACTTGTGAAGAATTTGGTTTTCTTGACAATAAGATTTCTGGTAACTACGTTGAAAGATGTCAACCACTACAAGATGCTATTCCTAAAGCCAAGCTCGTTAGTAGGGTAGAGGAAATAGGCCTTTGCTACTCTCCATCAAAGTATGGAATTATGTTGGCATCAGGTTTGTCTGTTGCAGATGATGATGCAAAGGGACAAACTGGTGGAGCTTCGTCCTCTTTTGCTCCTGAAATTGATACTTCTGCACTATTAGAGCCTGAGGAACCTTTGATGAAGTTATCTGTCAGTCTTCCTGCTACTTCAGCACCATATGGTTTCACTGTAGCTTATAAGGATTGTGGAAAAGAAGGAAATGGTCCTCCAAGTAGCTCAGATAAACTCAATGTGAATGATCCTTGCAATCAAAGCCATGAATCTGCTGCTACCACAACAGTGTGTGGATTTACTGTAGCTCATGAGGCACGTGAAAATGATAAGAATGGTCCTAGAAGCTACTCAGATAGGGTCAATGTCAATGATCCTTGCGACCAATACCATGAATCTGCTACTTCTCATGATAAGGCATTCAATGGAGGTAAGGAAAGCTCTTTTGATCTCCAGACTGGATATGATTTTGAGGATGGGGAGCTGAGAGAATCGGATGTCCCATGTTGGGATGAAATAGAACAGGTGGACTATGACACTGAAGGTGAAGAGGAGAGGTTATGTGGCTTGGAAGCTGAGAATAATGAGGAGAAATTGAAGGTGGAAAGAGGGTCAAGTCCTGGATCTGATGACATAATTGAAAAGACCAAAAATAGTGACATGCAGGAGAGTCTCAGAGAGAATGCAGTATCCTTGAAGATGACAACTGCAGCAGTGATGGAAGCGAGTGAATCAAATAAAAACACTATTGATTTTGTGGATGGATCTACCGTCAAAGATTCTCATTCTGCATTAGATGGATTAATGACATCTAAAAGGGAGTTGCTTTCAGGCATTGAAGCATCACCATCATCTGATGCTTTACAGATGATCAGGTGATTGGATGGGATTCACTGTATTTCTTTGATGCACCTTTCTAATTGCTTGATTACTGATTATCCTGATATTACAGGGTTGACAATTGTGATGATTTAAATCCTCAATCTGAAACGGATGGTGGCCCCGAAAAATTCGCTGGAAGGGATAGATCTACTCCACATATGCGTGGTCAAAATCCTAAAGGCAGTCCCTTTATCAGTCATTCAGCCGGGCAAAATTCAACTATTTTTCATGGCTCCCATCCGTCTCTGCGTTCCAGGCCAAAAAGTGCAGTTGAGAGTTGTGGATATGTGATATCTGCAGACCAAACACTTCCTGAATCTGTTGATGTTGCAAGACCTGAAAACCACATTGGTAGGCACTTTATGAGCTCCCACTCGAATGGTATGTACCGGCCTTTTATGAGGAGGAGATCACTGATAGAAAGGGATGATTCTTATGGTGTGAGTATGCAGATGACATCTGTAAGAGATACTAGTCCTGATAGAAGTAGGTTCAGAAGATATACACAAGGAGTTAGTAGGGATATTAGAGTCGAATACCTCAGGCGTATTCCAGGTGACTCCACAGATTATTTTAGTCATTTTCCACCATCTGATGCTGTACAGAGGAGCAGGTATCAAATGGGTCTACTGTATATTTCTTTGATTTATATTTTTGATTGCTTGGTTGCTGATTATTTCAATATTATAGGTCTGGCAATTTTGATGATTCTTATAATCCATCTGAAAGGGAGGATGGTTCTGACAAATTCATTGGAAAGGATAGACCTGCTTCGCATTTGCGCGGCAGAAGCCAAGGAGGCAGTCACTTTTTCAATCCTTCAGTACGTATCAGACATGAATACATCCGGCATGTTGCAAATGATGGATCTGAATATTTTAGTCGTTTGCCATCATCTGATGCTCTACAGAGGAACAGGTAAATATCTTTTATCAGTCTGCCTTTTTTTTTTTTTCTTGATGCACATTTCAATTTACTTGTTTGCTGATGATTATGATGTTACAGGCCTGATAATTTTGATGATTCATATCCTCAAGCTGAAAGGGAAGGTGGCTCTGACAAATTCATTGCAAGGGAAAGACCTGTGACACGCATGCACGGTCGAAGCCCTGGAGGTGGACACTTTTTCAATCCTTCTGCTGGTTATTGGGATTCTAAAAGGCAACATTCACCTAGTCGCCAGGGTGCTTACCATTCTGCATGTCCCAGACCTAAAAGTGCTATTGAGGGCCGTGGATTTGTAGTATCCACAGACCAATCACTTCCAGAAGCTGCTGCTGTTTCAGCAAGACCTGACAACCGCATTAACAGGCATTTTATAAGCTCACCCTCTAATGGTGGGTACCGCCCCCTTGTGAGGCGGAGGTCACCAGTAGAAAGGGATGCTTCTTATGGCATGCATATGAGAATGGCAACTGTAAGAGAAGGCAGTCCTGATAGGAGCAGGTTTAGAAGATACCCACAAGGGGTTGGCAGATGTCTAAGGGATGATTACCTCGGGCATGAACCAGATGAGGCCACTGAATATGTAAGTCGTTTGCCACATCAGTTAGGCAGGAGAGAAAGGAGCATTTCACCAGAAGGTCACTATGCTGAACCTTACAAGAAGACTCAGTCAAGGTCAAGGAGCCGTTCTCCCATGAGATTTCTTGTGCAGAGGGATCGAAATGAGGGTTCAAGACGTCGTAGTAGGTTGCCTGATTTTAGATCTGATGCTAGAATAGATAGAGTGAGGTTATTTCAAAAGCGTTTTCCCACTGAATATGGAGAGAGCTTCATTTCTCCACCAAGAGGTCGAATCTCACCACAGCGAAATTCTAGGGTGTTTGAGGATCGGAATTCAGGTCTTGACCAATTTAGGGGCCATAAATCACCGGTAAGGGTGTTCCGGGAGTCAAAGTTTTAGTTCAATATGCCCCATTTGAAATGATTACTTTGTTTGGTTGCTCTACTTCTTGTAAGTATGGTGTGGTTGATGAACTTGACCATGTAAGCAGTTATAAGATGATACATGAAATAAGGATGTTGCTCACATGGTGCAGTGCGTCAATTTTGGTACAAGATATAATGCATGAGATTTATTACTGCTGACTGCTATATCGATTGATGCCTGCAAGTTGACATGATGATAAGTGGTCATCTCAGAAAGCTTGTTGTATGTCTTGAAGGAGGAGGTTTAATGTCTCATTTTCATGCTGTTTGCTGTTAAAATGAGAGATGTTTTTCAACTTTAGGATCATTTTCATTTTTTGGGCAGAAATCATTAAAATCAGTCTGATTTCCTTTCCCCCTTGGTAGGTCATCTTTAGGAAAAAGAGAGTTTTCTCTACTTTAGGTTTGTTCTTGCTGATTTACAGCTTCTCCTCCTTCCCTTAAATGGTTTCTTTCTTGTCAAGGAGGCCGATGTAACCTCCATACGAGGCGCCATTAAGTTATAATGCGAAATCAGCAATTTTCGTGCACTTCTTTTTTTCTTTTAAATATCGAGCTTTACATTTGGAAGTACTTGAATTCAAATTTGTGTATGATATTCATATTTTCACTTTCTTACAGGGTTTTGTTTACATAAACAGAAATCTAACTAATTGAAACTGATATTGATACCTAAATAGGGAATATGGCTGCTGGGCATTCGTATTGAAAAAATATCACCAGCTAGAACTAATAGACTCAAAATGTAAGTTCTCTACCTTGCCGGGAGCGCAGATTCCAACCACTTCTTGTCTCATCTCCGGTGGGCCGCTAACTAGAATTCCGATGCTGCTTCCATCACGTTCAGATAATAATTCTGTGAGAAATAAATGAATAATTCACTGTCATGAATCCCAGAAATTCCGAAACTAAAAGAAGCAAAGTTGTTGAGAATTACTGCTTACTTCTGAGATTTGGTCTTCGGCCGTAGTGCACTTGGGTTGCTTGCAGTAAAGATTGGTGGGGAAGGCTCTCCGGATCCCTCTCAGCGGTGTGAAACTCTGCTGGAGATGTTTCCGATGATCGAGTCGCCTTCCCATTTTGTTTCTTGGT